TGCTACTTGACTAGCATGACCAAACTACCTGAGACAAAATCTCACCAATTCTGCTTCTAAGGAGCACTATGACTATACATCTTCCAAGACAGATGTGGCTCTTCTGGCAGTCCTTGGTGTAGGCAATATTCTTTGTCGGCACCATGATTTAAATGGTCAATTCTTCTTTGGTCTTCTCATTCATCACCCAGCTTTTTCACACATTTGAAAAAAAAAATTCACTGCCATCGAGTCTATAGTGAATCAAAGCAACTCTATAGGATGGGGTAGAACTGCCCCTGTGTTTTTTGGGGGACTCTTTTTGGCATATGAGGACACAGAAAATACTATGACTTGGGTCAGGGGCACCTTAGTCCTCAAAGTGATGTCTTTACACTTGAAAGATATGCTTTGCAGCAAATTTGCCCCATGCACTATGTAATTTGATTTCTACCATAGGAATTGATTGTGGATTGTAGTAAAATAATATCCTTGACAATTTCGATCTTTTCTCCATTTATCATGATATTGCTTATTGGTCTGATCACAATAATTTTTTTCTTTTCTTTTTATTAACCATTTTCTGTGTGAATTCGGTGAAGATTTATTGAGCTCAACAGTTTTTCACTGAACTATTTATACACATTTTCTTTTACATCCTTGATTGCAATTTCCACAATGTAGTATCTCTAATCCCACTTCCTCCCAGGGCTTTCTTTGGTCCCTCTATCCTAATCCTTCCTGCCTTCTGAACTTTGTCCTTGAACAAATGCTGCTTTTTGATCGTGACTAGTTAAGTTTTCTAAGGAGGGTGTTTCTACCTAGAGTTATAGTTCATTTTGTTAAACTGTTTATTGTCTGACTGAAAATTGAGTCATAGGAGTGAGTTCCATTGGAGGGCCGAAGGGTAACTAAAAACCACAGTGTCAGGGGTTCCACCAGTTTTTCTCCAACCAATCAGTCTTGTCTCTTTCATGGTTTTGAGTTTTCTTCCACATTTTTCTCTCTCACTCTTTTCAGGACCTTCTAACGTGATTCAGTTCAGAGCAGTTGGCAGTGGCAGCTGGGCATCGTTTTGGTCTTCTGGTCCCAGGGTCCTGACATCAGAGGTGGATGTTTTCTTTCTGTTTCTTGAGGGGTAACCCACACTGACGGCGACAGTCTCTGATCTTCATCAGTAAGTGCTTCAGGTCGCCTTCTCTCTCAGAAAGCAAGGCTGTGTCATCTCCATGTGACAGATGACCAAGAAGTCTTCCTCTGATCCCGATGGGGCATTTCTCTTCAGACTGTACAGTTTCTCAGATATCTGCTCAGCATACAGCTTAAAAATGGTGGAAAAATATACCCGTGGCACATACCTTGCCTGTATTCAACCATACAGTAACCCCTTGCTCTCTTCTAACCCCGCCTCTGGGGCTATGTAAAGTTTCTGTGTGAGCACGGTTAAGTATTCTGGAATTCCCATTGTTTGGGATATTATCTATAATTTGTTATGATCCCCACAGTTGAGTGCCTCAGAGTCAATAAAACATAGGTAAACATCTTTCTGGAATTATCTGCTTTCAACCAAGATCCATCTGATGTTATCAGTGCCATATTGTGCATTCCATATCTTCTGAATCAGGTTGAACACACCATTTTTTAGTTATCTCCAGGAAAAGTGTACTTATGTGAAATTAACAGCAGTTTGATAATTTATACAATCCGGTGGATCATCTTTCTTTGGAATGGGCAGATCTCTTCCAGTTGGTAGTCAAGTAGCTGTTTTCCAAATTTCTTGGCAAAGAAAGCGAGGCTTTTTTAACATTATAACCATATGCTGAAACATCTCAATTAGTATTTGTCAAGGCTCAAAAGTATTGCTTGACCCACCTCATTCTGGTTGACTCAACTTTGAGATGACAGCTCTTCATGAGTTACCCGAGGGCACCATCCATGCTCTGCTGATATTCATAAGATTTCACAGCCAATTTCCCCCCCAAAGTAGATTGCCTTCTATGTTAGACTGGGTTGGCTAGAGAAACAAATTCATTGACACTAATGTTTAAGGGAGAACTTTATACCAAGAAATAATGATGCATCAATACAACATCCCAGCCCAGGCCAGATCAAGTCCATAAGTTCAATATTAGCCCATAAGTCTGATATTAGCCCACGAGTTCCTCTTTAGACTCATCAGCATATGCAATGATGCCAAATGCAGGAAGATCACAGGCTGGTGGGAGGAATGTCCTGTGGGTCCAATGGCAGTGAATGTATCTCCAGGGCTCTGGTTTGTCAATAGGATTGTGAAGCAGAGAGAGAGAGAGAGTATATGTAGGCTGCCTCCAGAGAGCCATTTATCTCAGTCATGCCTCCAAAGGAAGTCATCAAGCTGTGATCTGATTGACAGGTCGAACACCACCCCATTTACTCCTAATACCAGGTTATATAACTGCCACGCCTTCCTTCCGAGTCGGCCTTGGTTAGAACTATGCTTCTGGGGCCATATGTGACCCTTTAGGTGTGAACCCCTGGCTCTGGAGTACTGAAAAAAATTAAAGGATAGACTTTAGATAATGGTGACTTCATTTGTGTATAAAAATACATTTATGACTCTCCAATCATTTTTAAGTAGCTTTGAGGCACAGGATTGGCTCTTCCATCTCAAAAAATTTGCCTACGCTGATGTATAAAATCCCCTGAAACCTGCCCTATGATGAGTGTCCCTGTTGGTATTTGAAAGGTCAGTGGCATGGTTTCCTGAATCACAGCTATACACAAGCCACCACAGTACGAGAAAGATAAGACTGTGCAACAATGAGTGAAACAGTCATCCGTCTTAGTTTCTCATCAGAAGGGTGCAGGTTCGACTTCTCTAGATGTGCTTCTATGGCCTATTGACCTACTGTTCAAGGTCAGCTTTTGAAACTGTATAAAGAACTCTGCAACCCATGGCCCTTGAGCTTGGACTGACTTCACAGAAACTGGTTTTGATATGGTCCCACCATTTACCAAGTCCTTTATGAGAACGATTATGCTCGTGTCCAATACCTGAATGACATTTTACCAAGTCCAGGGTTTTAGGAGCTTCATTATCCCTGCAGTTGGTGCTTGCCCAGCTAAGCAAAGAGGAACCCTGAGGCTTTCAAGACCCATCAACTCTCCTACTTCAATGACAAAACAGTTACGATTTTTGTTCTCAAGTTTATTTGGCTTAAAAAGAATTACCACGTGGAGGCCCAAAGCCTTTTGCAGTCATGACATGTTGGAATACCAGAGAGAGAGAGTGAGCCAAAGACACTAACATTCTGCTTAATGAAAACATACAACATGAAAGTATTTTCAAACACCTCCCAAGCATGCAAAAGCTGGACAATGAATAAGGAAGACTGAAGGATAATTGCTGCATTTGAATTATCGTGTGGGCAAAGAATATTAACTATATCGTGGTCTGTCAGAAAAACAAGCAGATCTGTCTTGGGAGAAGTTCAACCAGGATGCTCCTTAGCAGTGAACCTAGTGAGACTTTGTCTCACATACTTGGAAGGTGATGGGAAGGGACCATTCGTGGAAAAGGACAACGTGCTTGGTAAAATGGAGGATCGGCAAAAAGAAAAAGACCCTCCACAAGATGGATTGACACAGTGGGTGCAAGAACGGGTGCAAACAGCCACAATTGTGAAGGTGGCATAGGACTTGGCAGGCTTTCATTCTTTTCTTTTTTTAAACATTTTATTAGGGGCATACAACTGTTATCGCAATCCATACACACATCAATTGTGTAAAGCACATTTGTACATCGTTCTCAAAACATTTTCTCTTTCATTCTTTTGTGCATGGATTTGCTACGAGTTGGTAAAATTCAGGGGAATCTAACAACAACAACAAAGTTAGGTAGGTTTTCAATGCCTTCATGTGGCATTCATTATTAAAACACATTTTCAGCCACTGAGTAGAACAAATACAAGGGGAGAATTCCATCAACCTAGGACTGAATGGCCCATAATGCAATGCCACACAAGGCAATGCAATGCAACAGCTAAGAGCAAGGACTGTAGAGTCAAAGTGTGGGATTCGAGTTTGGCTGTGGGATGATAACAACTCTAGGTTTCCATCTCTTCATCAGAACTCAGAACAATACAATGCTTCCCATGTAAGTATAATAATGTGAATATGAAAAAGTGCTTGGAATATAGTGAACATTCTATATATTGCCTGGGACAGTACTACTCAAGAGTTCAGAAATTACCTGTTGATCCTGAGTTGATTCCTGGGTTGCTCATTGTAGCCCTAAAGGATAGAGTAGGATGTTACTTCCGGTTTCCCAACCTAATCCATGTCCACACTATAATCTTTGAGGACACAGACTGCCATGCCTTTCTCCAGAGGAGCAGGTGGCGGGCTTGAATCTCTGATCTTTGGGAGCACAACTGAGCGCATAACTGCTGCCCTGGCCATGAGTTAGAGGAATAAAAGGAAGAGCACGTATATTGCTATGCTGATTTTTAACAGTCTAGCTGATGTTTATTTTTGTATTTAGAAGGTTTGTGCTTCTGATCTGTGGATGTAACAGAACAAGGAGATGCCAAATGCTTTAAAATGAGAAAATTTGTACATCAGGGTTGTATCTTTTCATTATACTTATTTAGTTTATATGCTAAGGAAAAGTTCCCCGAGTCTGGACTGTGTGAAGAACACAGCATCAGGACAGGAGGCAGACTCATTTGTAACCTGTGCAGATGTGCAGATGATATAATTGTTTGCTGAAAGCAAAGAGGACTCGAAGCATTTACTGATGAAAATCCAAGATGGCAGCCTTCGGTTTGGATTACACCTTAACATAAAACAAAAATATAATGAACTAATAAACAACATCATGATACATAGAGAAAATATGAAAGTTTTGTTAAGGATTTAATTTTGCTTGAATCAACGATCAATGTTCATAGAAGCCATGGTCAAGAAATCAAACAAGGTAATTCATTGGGGGAAAAAAAAATTCTTGGCGGCCCAGCGCAGCGGACACCCAGGACTCAAAGATGTCGTCTCCCGTGCCCCTGAAGGAGAAGCGCCTCCTGGATGTCAGGATCTCGGAGTTGCCCAGCTGGGTGCTGATGCGGGACTTCACCCTGACGGGCACTGCTGGCGCCTTTCGTAGAGGTTACGATCCGTAT